ATCCCTTGAGCACCTGCCCAGAGACTCCAATATCCCTTAATTAAGGAATATTCCTTAAATTATAGTAGGATCCCTTATATGATTTAAGGAATATTCCTTAGTTAAGGGATCTTGGAGTCTCTGGGTGGGTCTCGGCATCCGTCTTGGTTTCGGCGCTTAGGATCCATATCTGTCGCTCGGCATCTTGGGCATCCGGAAGATACTGGAAGCGAGCCCGGAAGTACTAGTCTTCCGTCGAGTGTGTGCGACGGGCCCCCGAACCACTGAAAATTCTAGCAATGCCAAGCTCAACACCTAATTATCACGCTTCTCTCTGACCAGCTTACGAAGCCCTTCTAAAACAGAAAAAACCCATTTGAGAACCCGTCTGCTTGCATACACCAAACCCTAAAGGTAGGACCTAAAGCCTGCAGCCGCAAAGCCCCAAACCCCAAATCCCGAACCCTCTATAGGAAACTCCAGAAAGTTGGAATATGGTTTCATGGTAGGATACCCTATAATTTACCATAGAAGGGTTAGGATAATCATATTCCAACTTTCTGGCTTTTACTTTAGTGTCCTCAAAAGGAATCCTAAAACCCTACACTTAGATCCCAAAACCCTGTTGAAAGCAAGGAGACATCCTCAACCCTTAATCCTTAAAGCCTATAGATCCCCTGTAGACCAACTACCGGAGCCCCTACAGCCTAAAAGCCCTAAATCCTGAAACCCTAAATCCTGAAACCCTAAATCCTGAAACCCTAAATCCTGAAACCCTAAGCCCTAAATCCTGAAACCCTAAACCATAAACCCCTAAACCCCTAACCCTCAACCCTAAGCTTTACAAAAAGCCTGTTAGACTCAAGGAGCTGCCTGCCCAAGCGCTGACGGAGAACTGCCGTCGAAGGCGAGGCCCAGACCTGTCATACGGTTCTTGGAGGGTCGGAGGACTTAGAGCTCCAAAAGGCTCCTTAAAGGGATCTATAGGGTTCCTTAAAGGGATCTATAGGGTTTAGGGTTTAGGGTCTACTTGGAGGGTCGGGGGACTTAGTAAGTAGGGTAGTAAGTAGACTTATACGTACCCTAAAAGGGACCCTAATTGGGGTTATGGTACTTATAAGTCCCAAAAATAACCAGTTACTAAGTCCCCCGACCCTCCAAGTTGATGACAGAAATCCTACAGTTCCTTCAAAGAGATCTATAAAGGTACCTTTAAGGGGTTCCTTTAAGGGATCTATAGGGGGTTCAGGGTTTAGGATGATAGAAATCCTGCATCAACCAGAATAAGGAATATACCATAATTCCCATAGTTTAAAGTCCTTAAGATGGATTGCAGGATTTATATCATCAACCGTAGGACTCGCTTCCTTGCATTTTAGGGTTCCGTGAAGGGCTCCTGAGAGCTCCTATGAGGGGTCAATCTAACGGTCTAGGGATCTAGGGTTTAGGGGTTTAGGGTTTAGGGTTTAGGGTTTAAATGGGTGTCCCTGTTTTTACGGCACTTTTTGTTAGGGTGCCGTCTTGATTTGGTGACCGAAAAAAGCCACTGATTTAGAGAGCTACCTTAAGATATAGTATACCCCAGAAGTACAGTTATTAGTACATTAGCTGGGGCTGTAACTTATTGTATGTCAAGTTGTCACATTTAATTTCACTCTAGTTACTAAGCCTACTCTGTCCCATGAACCTTTAAGTAGTCAACCTCAGAACTTTGAACACGGTTAGGACGATTAGTGCTGATCGTTTAGGGTTTAGGGTTTATCGAGAGCATGAGCATCGTTTCTGCTTAAGGGGTACTGATTTGCAGGTTTTTGAAGGGTACATCTAAGAGCTTAGGGGTTCATAGGGTTCATCAACGAAGGCTATATTAGGCTCAGGGTTCGGGATGTTGGCTAGGGATTTTTCGTATGGGCTTAATACTCAAGGCCCGTTGAATTGTACAAGGTTCGGTACGGGCTTCATAAGCGTATTGTCTGGGATGTAAAAGGGCTTCTTACAAATGATTCAGCTGCTGTTGCTATACAAACCCATAGCAGAGGGCACTAAACCCCTGCAACGGCTATACAACAGCCCACACACCGCAGATCAATTAAAAACTAAGCCCTAATCCCTGAACTTCCTGAACCTTACACTAAACCAAACCCGTATAGAACAAGAAAACCATGAAATCCTAAACTACACTACACAACCCTACAAAACACGAAATGCTACCATATCCTACACCCTACACCACAAAAGCCCGACCCTCCCCCAAATACTAAACCCCCACACTCCAAAGCCCCACAGTGCCCTTAAGGGAACCCTCAGAGGCTAGACCTAAGAGTAACCTGCCCTTTTTGGTTTGAAAGGGTGCTATAAGTTATAAGGGAACCCAAACCCTAAAATAAGGGAAAAGGGCCTAATTACTCTGGGTCCTAGCAGCCTAAACCCCTAAACCCTCAACCCCTGAACCCTAAATCCATTAAACCCCAACTATACTGAACTTAGAACCCTAGCAAAAATTATAATTTTAGCTGTTTCTTAGGGATTATAATAACCAAAAATTAAAAATCATTTCCAAGTACGCCCAAGCCCAAAGGAGCCCCCAAAGACCTCCGTGAAGTTGGCTACGACCAGGCGCGAAGGATCCGCCGGGACGAGGCCCGGCGCGCCGGCGCCGGAGGCCACCGAGACGACCGGGAGGTGGTGCTCCAAAGCATACCTGGTAGGGATCTTCAGGGTTTACCTGGACCCTGAGGAACCTACCTTTTTAGGGCTCCTTAATATGATTTCTTTGTATAAGTCCTTAAAAGAGGTAGGTTACTTGGGCTTTAGGGTTTAGGGATTTAGGGGTTTAGGGTTTAGGGTTTTAGGGTTTAGGGTTTAGGAGCATACCTGGGGATCTTTAGGGTTTAGGGTTTAGGAGCATACCTGGGGATCTTTAGGGTTTAGGATTTAGGAGCATACCTGGGGATCTTTAGGGTTTACCTTAACCCTGAAGGACCTACCGTTTTAACGACTTATATAAGGACACAATAATATGGAACCCTACGGTAGGGTTTAGGAGCATAACTGGGGATCCCCAAAAAACGGGCAGAGTATACCTGGGTTTAGGGTTTAGGGGTTTAGGGCTTATAAGGCTTTGGATGCCAAACACCGGGCTAGGGTTCCTTTAAGGATTCCTTTTCAAGGGCTCCTTCAAGTGGTTTAAGGTTCCTTGCAGGGTTCCTTCCTACAAAGCATACCTGGTGATCCCCGCGCCCGTCGTGGCCTGCTAAGAGTTCGTAGGGCTTGAAAGGAACCCTATAAGCCCTACCGGGCTCCTTAAGGAACCCTTAAGTATGCTGTTTGGGGTTTAGGGTTCAGGGTTTTATAGGGTTTAGAGGATAGGGAATAGGGTTTAGGGGTTGGGTTTGGGGTTTGGGGGTTTGGGGGTTTGGGGCTGGGGTTTGGGGTACCTCTTGAAGCTCGAGGGCTTCGGGGTTATGTTAGTTATGTATACTGGGCTGTGCTTTAAGCCCATTGAAAATTAGTTATGAACAGGTTCCCTTTATAAGGAAATAAGGGAAATCAAGAATTATCCCAAAGCGCAACCCAGTAAGTATATATGTATATATAGAGAGAGGCTTTAGGATTTGGAGGTAGCAGTTAGGCTTAGGGCAAACGGCTCTTTGTTCAAGGGGTAAGGGTTTAGGAAGGCACTGGGGCCTCTGGCCACATGCCTGGATATTTAAGGAGCGTTTATTTAAGACATATGGAGTTTGAGGTCTTGAAGCTTAGAGTGAGTGTAAATAAAAATGGGCGAGCGTCTCATTCAAAACATGGCTTCAAAACAATGCTCATTCGTCTCAGCTGCCTCAGTAGCAGCTCCTTTCCCGAAGTTCCGCCCATGCAATCCAACAACATGTCCTAAGTGGTAGTTTAAGGGCCCCCTAAAGTTGGTGACTCTACAGGAGCAATCGGGCCATCACTTCTATAAAACACGAAACCCTAAACCCTAAACCATGTCCTAAAGTGCCGCCAAATCGGTACCTCTACAGGACCATCACTGAAACAGAAAGCTGCCCAAACTGCCACAAAGTGTCGGGACACCTTCCATCCTCACTGGCCCCAAGCCTGGGTTCTTGTTTCGGGTTTAGGGTTTAGGGTTCTTAAATTACCATCACGAGGAAACCCTACTACTGTGGCAATACCTTAGCTCTGCAGTATGCGGCTCTACAATAACCGGTTCCATTACGAGGGCTTCTATAACAAGGGGTTCCAGACGGGCGGGGCTCAAAATAAACTCGTTAACAAGTTAACAAGAACCCAGAAACAGCTGCGGCTCAATCCCTGCTGCGAGATGTTGGCGCCGGACCTCGATCCGCGCATGAGGTAGCACCTCGAGGTGCGAAATTCTAGTTTGGGGCCTGTGGTTCAGGGTTTCTACAATAAGCCGTTCCACCATACAGGGGTCTATCATACAGGGGTTACATACCGAGAGGTTCAGTGCTAAACGGATCCAAAATTAGAGTAGCGAGAGGTTCTAATTCTACAATAAGCCCTGAGGTCCTCTAGGATGCCCAGCAACCTAGGAACAAAAAGCGCTTCCTTTTTTGGTATTGGGTACCTTTCTAAGGAACCTAGGACCACAAAAAGGGAATAGGTACTACTGGGCATCCTAGTCCTCTTCAACCCTAAACATGCTTGAAGAAGGGCTACTTGGAGGGTCGGGAGGGACTTAGTAAGTAGACTTATAAGTACCATAACCCCAATTCGGAACCCACTTAGGGCACTTATAACTCTAGTTACTACCTACTTACTAAGTCCCCCGACCCTCCAAGTAAGGGTTTAGCCTCAGGTTTTAGGGTTTAAGGGTTCAGGGCTTGGAGTTCCCTAAACCCTAAACCCTAAGGGGAAGGGGAGTTCACCAGAGCTGGAAGAGCAATCAGCTCGGAGGGTATAGGGCCCATTACAGGCGCAAATCGGCGTTAAGGGTCGTTGCAGAGAGGTTTTGGACGTTCTCTCAGAGCGGCTCTGGGTGTATGATATTCAAAGGGGAAAAGGAGGGACCCTTAACGGGGACCCCTACCCTATGGCCCTATAATGGGCTATATAATGGGTATATAATAGGTATATTAAGGGTATATATCTAAGGGTCCTTATTAAGGGTCCCTCCTTTTACCCTTGGAGATATAGTCCCTCAGCCCTAACCCCCTAGACCCCTGAACCCTAAACCCTGCACCCCAAATCGAAAAACCGTAAGGACTAATATAATGAGACGTTAACAGCTAGAAGGCCTGAAACCCTGAATCACTGAACCCTAAACCCTACACCCTAACCTAAACCGACTAGGGCATATAACACTATAATAAGAGGCAGACCTGAGGCCATGAGGACTAGCATGACTACTTATTTCGACCCGTAGATTAGTTTAGGGGCCCTGACAAGTACGCTTAGGGTTTAGGTTTTAGGATTCCTTTAAAGGGCTACTATCAGGGCTATTGTAAGGATATCGTGTAGGGGCCTTGATAATTGTCAATAGGGCTTGGGTATAAACGGTAATACAAGTAAAATAAGAAAACCTAAGGAACAGTATTTGTATCTACTTATATAGGCCTCTACATTAGGTCCTATCGTTGCCAAGGCCTCGTACATCAGCTCCTCACACACATCCACCTTCGGACGCCCCTGGTCTGCGTCTCGCGCCAGAGCATGACCTGGTCTTTGAATTAAGCAGGGAGAAAAAAAGGATAGACTTTTATTTCATAACGGTTCCCTTTAAGTAACAGGTCCCCGAAAAAAGCATTAAAGTACTATAGGGGCCTGAATGATTACCAATACTATTCTGGGGGTTTTGTTATACTTATAGTATAATGGGCCCCAAAACCCTATTCTAATTATTAAGGCCCTATATTTTGGTACTCCAAAGCCCAGTGACGAGCACTGCAGCGGATGTGGCTCCCGTCCACCAAACGGAGCCGCTCGACACCCGCCCGAGCGAGGAGTGTAGCTGCAGCACTGCCAACACAACCTAGGCGCTTACAGAACCCCAAACCCTAAACCCCTTAAAGGAACCCTAAACCCTTAACCCTTCAAAGGAACCCTAAACCCTAACCCGTTAAAGGAACCCTAAACCCTAAACCCCTTAAAGGAACCCTATAGTTTGGGAGCCCATAGCAGTGACAACCACTCGCATACTAGACGAGTTCAGGAATGGTACTAAAGGGAGCCCTATACACAACAAAGGCTGACCATTGAACAGCAGGACTCCATATACTTCTCCAAAAGTCAAAAGCTACCTACTGAGCTGCCAACAGAACCCAGCCCGACGATGGCCAGGAAAGAGTTGCAGAGCTTCTTGTGGCCCTCCTCTCCCAGGAAAGAGGAGCTTCGGGAAAGCTGCTCCTCCAACAGTGCCCGAGCCTCCTTGCAAGGGATGGCGAAACCTTGAAGGTTTCACAGGGCCTATAGGGGCTTTATAGGCATAGAGGTTGTATTGGAAGTTTACTTGAAGGATGGTGGGAAGTAGTGCGTACGGCGTTATAAAAAAAGTTACGAAGATGCCTTTGACGCTCAAACAATAGCAATGATAAGACAATGCTTGTCCTGCCAGCCATAGCCATCATCATCGTGACCACCATCGTCATCAACAGCAACAGCAACATCATCATCCTCACCACCATCATTACATCATAGTCATGGTAGCCGTCGTCGTCGTCGTCGTGGTAGCAGTCGTTGTCCTCATAGTGGTCCTAGTAGTAGTAGTAGTAGTAGTAGTAGTAGTAGTAGTAGTAGTAGTAGTAGTAGTAGTAGTAGTAGTAGTAGTAGTAGTAGTAGTAGTAGTAGTAGTAGTAGTAGTAGTAGTAGTTCTAGTAGTAGTAGTTCTAGTAGTAGTAGTTCTAGTAGTAGTAGTTCTAGTAGTAGTAGTAGTAGTAGTAGTAGTAGTAGTAGTAGTAGTAGTAGTAGTAGTAGTAGCAGCAGCAGCAGCAGCAGCAGTAGCAGTGGCAGTAGCAGTAGCAGTAGCAGTAGGCGTAGCAGTAGCAGTAGTAGTACTAGTAGTAGTAGTAGTAGTAGTAGTAGTAGTAGTAGTAGTAGTAGTAGTAGCAGCAGCAGCAGCAGCAGCAGTAGCAGTAGCAGTAGCAGTAGCAGTAGCAGTAGCAGTAGCAGCAGCAGCAGTAAACTCCATGAAACATCTAACAAAAACCGGCCGGTGCTCCTCGTCCAAGGAAGGAAAAACTCTCTCCTTCTGCGTCCGTCGCTGTGGTGGGCAGAATGACGTAGCCTGAAAGGAGAGGTTTACGGGGGCTTTAGGGTTTAGGGTTTAGGGTTCGCGACCCGAGGCCCCTGGAGTACCCAGAGACATTTGGTTAGGGGTTTAGGGTTTTAGGGTTTGGGGTTTCGGCAAAAGCAGAGCCCGGGTTTGGGGGTTGAGGATGTAGGGTTTTGGCAACAGCCTTGCGGCTTGTCGTTCAGGGACCCAGGTCGAGTTTGTAGTATGCAGGCACTTTGAAGCCTAAACCCCAAAGGCCAAGTGCCGGATAGGGGGGGGTTCATGTACAGGTCTAGATACTGAGCCGTGTTACAAACTCCATGATCGCCCCCTTAAATCTACCCTAAACCCTAAACCCTAAACCCTAAACCCTAAACCCTAAACCCTAAACCCTCAACCCTAAACCCTAAACCGAAACCCCTCGAACTTAGAACCCGAAAACCCTAAACTCTGACACCCTTTAAGTAACCGTAAACCCCTACATCCTTGACCCTTAACCCCAAGACTGTAAGTAAGCCTAGACTCCAAACTGCATCCGCTTTTTTAGCACATCCTCAACCCCTCAGAGTCCGCCGTGTTTCTGGCTTCTGCGTCTGACTTTCCTGCAACTTGTCCGTCTTTCAAAGGGGAAAAAGGAGGGACCCTTAATGGGGACCCTTACCTTATAATGGGCTATATAATGGGTATATAATAGCTATATTAAGGGTATATACCTAGGGGTCACTATTAAGGGTCCCTCCTTTTGCCCTTGGAGTCTTACTGCTGCGGCCGTGGATGCGGCCATCTCCTTTGGAGCTGTGGCCTCCATCCAAGGATCTGACGCGGCTGAGCACACGACGTGTTAAGCCATTGTTCACACCTCTGACGACCTCCAGAATGATCTGAAATGTCAGTGTCTGACGCTAAACCCTAAACCCTAAACCCTAAACTAAGCAAAACGCCACGTAAGGAATCCTCCCTCTGACCGCTGCAAGCGCTGCCATCCCCGGTCTCCGGTGTGAAATCCACAATCTGGAAGGTGTTCAGGCGTTTCCCTAAATCAAAGGGGAAAAGGAGGGACCCTTAATGGGGACCCCTACCCTATAATGGGCTATATAATGGGCATATAATGGCTATATGAAGGGTATTATACCTCGGGGTCCTTATTAAGGGTCCCTCCTTTTACCCTTGGACTAACCCCCTTTAAGCGGACCCTAAACCCTAGACGATGTTTAAATATCCCCCAGACTCCAGACCCTGCACCCAAAACGACCCTTTAAGTATACCTGAAACCCTGCACCCTAAACAAAACGACCCAGCACGTATACCCTAAACCCTAAACGCCTAAACCCCAAACCCTAAATCCTAAACCCGAAACCCTAAACGACCTAAATCCTAAACCCTAAACGACCTAAATCCTGAACCCTAAACCCTAAACGACCTAAATCCTAAAATCCTAAACCCTAGCCTAGGCCCTAAACGCCCTCAATCCTACACCCTAAACCCTAAACGACCTAAATCCTAAACCCTAAACCCCAAACGACCTAAATCCTAAACCCTAAACCTTAAACGACCTAAATCCTGAACCCTGAACGACCTAAATCCTAAACCCTAAGCGACCTGTAAGTGTCGTAACCGACGCCTCCCGCGGCGCAGCCGGCTCCTTGGCCTGCGCTGCCCCAAGCCTGAGTTCTTATCAAGGGACGTATTTTAAAGCTCTGGGCTTAGGGTTTCGGGTTTAGGGTTCCTTTAAGGTGTCAGTAAGGGCCACTATAAAGGATATTGTGGTGATTTAAATAGGGCCTTAATACTTCTTTTTCGAGCGGGGGTTCCGTTTAAAGGGATCCTTTAAAAGGGATCTATAAGGGATACTATAAAGGGCACTATGATGTAGGATCTATAGTGGGATTTTATGATATAGGGGCCTTAATAATTAGAACAGGGTTTTGAGTCCCGTTATACTATACTTAATATAAGGAACCCTCACAATAGTATAGGTAATTATTGAAGCCCCTATAGTATCTTAAATTGGGGTTACTGTCTGGCGGTTTAGGGCTGGGGGTTTAGGGTTTGGGATTTGCGGTTTAAGGGTTTAGGGTTTGGGGTTTAAGGTTTGAGGTTTGGCGATGTAGTGGAAATAACCATGACAACGAAATCCTGTTGTTTGCCGGATCCCTGTTCTGGTACCATAAGCCCTAAGCCCTAAACGTTTATAGAACCCTTAAAGGAACCCTTATAAATCTCTGTGATGGTAACTTGATAATAGAAGTTTCTCTAAACCCTGCACCACCAGCCTTCAAGTCCTAGATCCTAAACCACAAGTCTAATCTCTAGACCCCCCAAATGTCTCAACCCGAACCCCGATTCATATCCTACCTTAAGGGCATGAGGGCATGCCAACTTTCTGGCTTCTACTCTGAGTTCCTTAGTCCTAGCAGTTTAGGGTTTAGCCTGTGGGTTTAGGGTTTTCAAAGTTCAACAGTCCATGAAGTTAAATGGTATACAGTATACCGTGCCCCCAAGTACTTTTGCAAGGACTACGTACTTTAGGGCCAAGGTATATACTGTTTGAATACCATGGACCCTTTTACCCTAAACCTTAGACGGACCCTTAAAGGAACCCTTAAAGGACCCTTTTCTATTTGGCTACCATGGTTTGTTAGGGTGCCCATAGACTCCAATATTCCTTAATTGAGGGATATACCTCAACTATATTTGGATCGCAAAAACCAATTAAGGAATATTCCTTGCTTGTAAATCCCTTTCAGAAACCACTTAAGGAACCCTAGGCATTGTTTAAAGGAGCCGTATTTAGATCCCTTTCAAGGAACCCTACAGTCTCTGGTAACAAGAACCCCGAAACCCAAGACCTTAAGCCCCTGAACCAACACCCCGACACTGACCAGGAGCCCTTATAGGAACCCTTCAGGGAACCCTTGTAGATCCCTTTAGAGGAATAGGAACCCTAGGAATTCCTTAATTGAGGGATATTGGAGTCAAGAAGCAGCCGAGGGCGACGCAGCTGGGACTGGGCCCAGGCCAGTGACGCCTCTTTCTTGAGGCTGTGGCGTTGCTTTAGGATTCTGTAGGCGTTTATAGGGTTCCTTTAAAGGGTGGATTGGTTTAAGGGTTTAGGGTTTAGAGTTTTGACTTTTACGGTTTAATGGTCCTTTAAGGATTCCTATTTAGGGTTCCTTTAAAGGGGTTCTACAAGTGCTGTGTAGGGTTTAGGGTTTGGGGCTTTAGGGTTTATAGGGCTTGTAGGGCTTGTAGGGCTTGGGGCTATTGGGCTGCCTTTCAGGGGTCTCGGGTTTTGGGGCTTTTAAATCAGGGCCTTAGGATTCAGGGTTTTGGGGCTTAGGGCTTAGAGATCGACGGTTCGGGGTTCAAAGATTTGGGGGCTCAAAATAAGGGTTTCTGTAAGGGATACTATAAGGGCTCCTTTAAAAGGGCTCTATGTAAGGGTTTCTATAAGGGATACTATAAGGGCTTAATATGGGTAGTTCTCAAAATTGGGGTCCCTTTTTGGGTACCCTGAATTTTTGGTGTCGTACTTTTTTAGGGACCCCAAAAGGGACCATAATTTTGACAACCACCCATTTGGGGCTAAGGGTTTGGGGTCGAACGGAAACCTGGGTCTTTTTCTCTTACCTTTGGTTAGTAGGGAATGGAAGAATGATAGTAATAGTAGCTATAATTGTACCCCATTCCTCCATTGCCCACTAAGCAAAAATAAGTTTTTGGGCTTTCTGGGCATGCCACCCAGGTTTCATGAGGGAATTGAAGTTCGGGGCCCAAAAATCTTATATAATATGGCCTTTGGGCCCAAAAGCCTTAATATATGAGTCCTTAGATGCCTAGGGTTATAGGATCCAAAAGAAACTTGAAGAAGCTCTGGAGAGATCCCTGGGGCCCAGGCCATCAACCCCAGTCCATGAAACACCGTACTAGATCCTTTAAAGGACTCTTTAAACGGAATCCATAGGGTTTAGGGGCTCCTTTAAAGGGCCCTTTAAAGGGAATCCATAGGGTTTAGGGGCTCCTTCAAAGGGTTTCTTTAAACGGGGATCTATCCATGGCTCTATGATACCAGGGCCTTAATATTTAGAATTGGGTTTTCGGGTGTGTGCGGACAGAAGGGTGGTGCGAACGAAGCTGAGGAAGACTTGTGCTGGGTTTTGGGGTAGGTAAAACCTTACTTAAGCCCTCTCCAGCTGAAAGGCTGCCAAAAATTCAGTGTATATCCAATCAACGGTGGAAACCCTCCTAAGGCAAAGGCTCCATGGTACTATTATATTAAGGCTTTCCTTTAAAGGGGTCCTTAAAGGGTTCCTTTAAAGGGTTCTATAGGGTTTAGGGTATAAGGGTCCATGGTACCATTCTAGTAGATACTTAAGCCTTAAAGGGGTCCCTATATAGGTACTTTAAGGCCTAAGTATATACTATATGGGTACATGGAGCCTTAGGGTAAGGCCTGCTTCCTTGGAAGCGACTCAAACTCTGGAACTCTAGTGCAATGCAGTTGTGTAAGAACCGTGCCTAATGTAGGGGCCTTAATAATTCGAGTAGGGTTTTGGGGGGTTCCTTACTATAATAATCAAATCCTCAGAATAGCCCGTATAGTAGCCCTTACAGACCCCTTTACAGGAACCCTAAACCTATATCATAGAACCGTACTATAAATCCATTATAGACCCCTTAAGGATCCCTTGAAAAGGGAACCCTAGGCCTAATTATTAAGGCCCCTACATTAAGGAGGCTTGGAACCCGGGAGCAAAACGTCACCTCGACGCGCCCGCGCACCGCATCGGGCACCTCCGCTGGGCCTTTGTGGCCCTCTGCCTGTCGCTGTTTGATGACCCTAGAAGTTTAGGGTTTAGGATTTGAGGTTTAGGGTTTCAGGTTTAGGATTTAAGGTTTAGGGTTTAGGGTTTAATAAGGCTTCATGTATCCATATTTTAAATACTTAGGCCTTAAACCACCTATATAGCGACCCCTTTAAGGCTTAAGTGTCTAGCATAAACTTACATGGAGCCTTTGGGTGAAGGGTTGAGCGGGTTTAGGGTGAAGGGCTTAGCGGCGCTATCCAGGGGCCGTATAACGCCTTTTCATTGCTTTCGGGCTATGAGCGTTGTAGGAATTTGGGGGCATACGTTGGGGCTTGGGGCTTCCCAGAGACTCCAATATCCCTTAATTAAGGAATATACCTTAAATTATAGTAGGATCCCTTATATGATTTAAGGAATATTCCTTAATTAAGGTATATTGGAGTCTCTGGGTTGTCAAGTCTTGGCATTGGGCTGACAGGCTCTGTCCCAGAGCCGAATCCTGGGTTAGGTGTAACCCTTGCGCAAACCCATCTGCGTAAGTGAAAGTGCTTTCTCGGCCAGCAGGTCCCACTATGAGCGGCGGGTTCTGGTACATGTGTGTACTCGTATCCGCTAATCGACCAGTAAACTCTTCGATGTATGAGTAACCTGCACACCCGGCAGCCCTGGAATGAGCCACACTCCAACTGGCAAAATCCGCGCCAATTCGAATCGCACGCGAATTGGTTTGGGGGTTTAGGGGTTTAGGGTTTAGGGTCTAGGCGCATGCGATGAGGAAATGATGCAAAGTCAGTACTTGGAGGTTCACGGGACTTAGTAAGTGAGGTCACAACCACCTTAAACGGGTCTATAGGTAATTATAAACATAAGTCGGGTTACCTCATTTATAACCCTAGCTACTAAGTCCCATGATCCCGTGCCAGTAACTTCTAAGCTTGCTGATATTTTGTGCCACGGGCATTTGCGGGGTCGGGATCGAACAAATCCAAACCGAAAAGCT